AGGGGCATTACTAAGCCCTTGTGGCATTACTAGCCATTCCCAGAGCATGCCGCTAGGCGTGCTCACTGCGGTATAGGGTATATCCCGTTCTCGCATAAGGATTTGATAGAAGCCATCCATCAAATCCATGAAAGAAAAGATGGTACTCTTTGACATACCATCAATGATTACGTCCTTCCTCGGTATCGGCGTCTGAGCCGGTACCGTTGCAGCATTCAATTTGTTGAACGCGTGCACTATCCGCCACCCTCCTGTAGCTTTTCGCACACAGAAGGTCGGAGAGCTATGTGGGGAAGTTGATTCCCTCACATGGCCCGCAGCTAAACGATCGGCAAAGAACTTGTCGATCGCAAAAACTAGTTCACGAGGCAGTGGCCACTGCTTCATGACACAGAGCTTCGCACCGGGTTTCAGCTCGGCCTCGTGTCGAGTACCTTTATCCTTCGGTAAATCGCACGGAACAGTTTCAGGGAATACATCCTTGAATTCTACCAAATCTTCATAGAGAGGATTTGTCTTGAGCGATTCCCACGATTGAGAGTCATATCGCTCAACTCGTGTCTTTTCATCGAGGACGCTCTCGTCCATCGATGAACTACTGAGAACTCTCTCGTTCTCAGTAAACACTGTTGCTGACCTTATGTCGGCTACACACTCGTCGTCAGCGACGAGTACGCAGATCTGCTTGACTTTGCCACTACGCAGATCACGCAAGAACCTTTTATGTTCGAGCGTTGGCAACTGAGTGATCTCCGAAGTCAACTTCGGAGGCGCAATCAGATCAAGTGTATAAGCGCCCACACTTGATCTATCATTGACTAGGACATTCAATGTCTCTGTCATTTCCTGGGGACTTATTACCTCAGGCCTCGAAGGACTTATTCCTTCGGCTTCCCGGGGACTTATTCCCGCGGGTTTCGGGGAACTTATTTCCGCCGTATCTGTAGTATCGGGACTTATTCCCTTAACTTCCTCTAGATGTGGTTGCGCAACCACAGCGAGATTCTCTACGAAAGACTCTCCAGTCGATCTAGGGTTATCTTTTCGCTTAACCTGAGCGATCGATTGTTTCTCTTCTAGATGTTCCCCGCTAGGGATACATCTTAGTCCCGGTCCACTCGACTTATTCGAGTGGTGGACCTTCGGCGCAGCCTGTGTTTCCTCACAGCCGCCGGAACTTTGCTCCGAAGTGTAACAGTTTGGTACACTAAGGTTTTGTGCACTCGTACTAACGACCGTACCACAAGTGAGGCCATCGCACTCACTCGTAAAACATCCACACGCTTGTGGACGCTCCAAAACGTTCATCAGATGGCCATCTGATGAACAAGCGGCAGGCATCGTTACTGTTCGATGTTGTCAGTTTACTCGTGGTTCGTACCTTCTGAGCCATGGCAGACCAAGGATGACATCAAATTTGTCATCCAGATCCAATACGATAAAGTCATCGTCGTATTGGGTATCTTCTAGCGTATAGTGGATCTTCACTATACGCTTCATGATTGTTACGGATGCGCCTGTCGCACGACGTACCGTCATCCTCGTAGGAGGTGTGTCACACTCAACAAACTTGAAGTGAACATCTTCTAGCGATTGGCGTCGCACAAAATTGTTGGACGCCCCACAATCGACTAGAGCTCGAAGGGACAACTTATTCGTCACTTCGAGTTTCAAGGTAATGAGTGAGATCTCATTACCTAGAGCAGCAACGCACAACGTTTGTGTGTTGGAAGCAACCTTCATCAAGAGGCCTACACATTCTCTTGACGTTGCTGGACCAGTAGGGTGCTCCACACCTACTGATCCTGTCCGTTTTTTTACGGTCCATCCCGTTGTTGCGTCTTTGCACCAACAGCGGACCCGCGTCCCTGCCCCTTTCTCATGGGTGGACGGTCACTACGCCCAGTGTTGCGAGACACTGGACGAGGGGCACTACACTCGTAAGCGTAGTGTCCTGTCTTTTGACATCTGTTGCATCTCTGCAACTTCTTGTAGCCTGTAGAGCGAGCCTTCTCGCTCTCTGCATAACAGAGTTCCATCGGATCTGGACCTCCGCTGTCATATCGTCTCGGTGGACGATATGATGTCGAGCTGGCGCGAGACTGTCTCAGACTGAAGTCTTCCTGCTCCGCAATGGAAATGGCTTGTTCTAGTGAATCTAGTTCAAGCCGGAACAGGTGAGTCTTGACGGGACCATCCGCAAGACCCTGCATGAACACCGAAACCAACGTGTGTTCATCAACCGGGTTGGAACTTATACAACTCGGGAGATGTCGTGTATGTTGGGCGTAAGCGTGCACATCACGCTTACCCTGTTTGAGCTTCAAGAGTTCAGTTCGAGCTCTGAACTCAGCTCTAGGCGGTTCAAACGTTTGCCTGGGCCGCGACTTGAAGACTTCTAACGACCCAAACGCATATGGGTCGTGCAACTTGAGCCCCAGTGCCCAAGTCTTGGCACGTCCTGCCAGATTTGATTGGGCAAATGCAACTTGCATATCCCCGTCGTCGATGCGACGCGCCCTTATGGCGTCATCCAATTCGACGAACCATCTCAAGAGGGAGTCTTCTTCGACCCCCCTACACTTGGAGATGTCAATCCTCAAGGTCTCGGGTCGACGCGAGTGCATCGACCCACCAGCAGCAGCCTGCTGCTGTCTCAACAGTTCAAACTGTTGAGCACCCTGTTCTCTCAACAACTCTGATTGTTGAGAACCTTGTTGGTGAAGCAAGGCTACTTTCTTGCGTTCTGCGTCAAGTTCATTTTGAATGAACTTGGCGATAGTAGCATGTTGGGCATCTCTATTGAAAGCCTCTAGCATGACGCTAACAGCATGGATGCCCATGGTTGAACCCATTCGTTCAACCGCATCCCATTCGACATCGCTCAAATGGGAGTAGCCGTCACGCGTAGCGTGAAAGCTTTGGTCATCTTCATCATCCAACATATTCATGTTGGATGTGAACGCGGTCCTTGGACGGACTACGAAGCACTACCAGGCGTAACGGGGCACCTAAAGCTTGTACTGATGACAGTACAAGCTACTTATTCTGACGACAGAATAAGGCGGTGCCCCGTAACTTCACGTACACTCGTACTTGCAGAGGAAGACGGTAAGAAGAAGCGAGTACTTAGTTAGAGTAAAAAGTAGAACTGTATTTATAATAGTTAATGTCTGCAATAAATCACTATTTATCTTCATCTAACTATGTCTCAATACAAATGTGTAAATCAGTTATCTGCTCACCACTCATTGCGTGCGTCTGTCGTGGCGCGTCTTCGTTGGTTGATATAATGGCCTATATCAACCAATTAGGAACTACTCGTAAGTGCTACAGAATATTTGTCCTTATGACAATATTCTGAGAATATAACTCTTATAGTTATATTCTATTAACAATTTCTTATAAATTGTTATGCAACGATTCACCCCGTTACAGCAAGAGCATGCTGACATTGCGTATGTCGGAAGTTTCTGTACATCAACGGATGTAGGCGAAAGTATCGCGGTCTTTGAAGAGTCTGCATTCGTTCTCATGCACGGAGACGTCAAGATGGCTTATTAGAAGCGGTCGTGGACATCAACATGCTCTTAAAATGATGTTCGTCTCCTATAGGTGGTTCGATAAATTTGAAATAAAAAAAACGTCATGGCACGTTTTAAATATGTTATTAAAACTATCACATGCGCGCAAATTATTGTGCAGCAGCTGTAGGTTGATGCATCTGGACAAATACAGCCTTCGTATTGTCTCTTTCTCGTGGTACACGCCACGCCGGCTGGTATCGCTTACGCGTCGGACGTGTCTACAGTGGCAGTTGCTTAAGAGTGTCGATCAGGCTCATTTTTGCGCAGGTTCTTGCCAAAGATGTAGAGGGCTCACACAAACTGCAAACGAGTTTGGTTCCGCGGTCGAGAAACGACACCAACCGCCCGTGGAATCATGATAGTCTTTTCTTGCAAGCAACAAAGAAAAAAGCCATGATGCCGCGCGATCTTGTGTGGAAAATGCTGACGGAAAACATTGGTGCACAGCCTGCTGCTTTACGGTATGGTCAGCTTTCTCTCGACTTCCGAACGGCCTGACCGGTAGGGGTCTTCACAACTCCATGACTGTATGATGGATCTGGGGCGTAAGGATTGACAGTATCAGTGGTGTCTTCATTGGTGTATGCAGCGACACTCATAGAAGTATCAAGAATAGCAAAGGAGACCGATGCAGGAGCAACTGACTGCAAAACATCGTGAGCTGCACCACGAGAGGTAAAGATATGATGGCTCATCGTCATGTAGACGTAAAAGTTACGAAGACGGAATGAGAGGTCTAGCTGACGCTCACTGTTGGATGTTCTCTTGTTAGAGTGTGGACGTCCTCTCGTTAAAAAGTGGATCTTCTTTTAGCATGTCAGCACAGTAATTTTTAGTCGAATGGATAGCTTATATTTCATGAAGGTGCATTTAGCAATAAAGGTAGAGTTACTCCTGCACCGGCTTCCAAAAAGTTGTATCGAAGAATGATATTGGTTGCTTTGTTGGCTACAATTTGATCATCTGAGCTGTGATTGACTGGATTCAAGAATCTGTGGATGTAGTTATTTATGTGTCAGCGGCCGTTGTATTAGTGTCTGCGGATTTTGTCGCATTCCTTCTAATGCAATGATGATCCGGACGAGCAACGGCGTAGCTCAATGACGGGCTACAGCCTTTAACAGGTGGAATGTATGTCAAATGCGCGCGTCGTATATTTGTAGTATTCGTTACTATGCGCAAGTGCCGTGCCGTCGGCGATCATACATCTTCCAGTACAATCGATTGCGGCGACCTCGGTTCTTGATCATCACAATTTGAAAGTCTAAATTTGCTCTCTGCATCTCCCTCATTTAATAATGTGTATTTTCAACCTTGATCTTAAACTTTTGTCCTAAATCAGGACACTTGTCTAAGCAAGTTTTATTCTGCCTGTCGAATTTAATAACTTCGCTCAATTTCTCAGAAACGCCAATGCATCTCGTGAGTGCAAGTCTCTGTCTCTTCAACCAAAAGATCGCTTCCAACTCAAAAACGTTTCGATTAAACGAGTTTGTAGCCATGTCGATAAGCGACAAGGAGGACGGCAAGAATAACGAGACACGTCTCCGCGAAGGTTTCGTACTTAATGCGGTAAGTCATCACTATCCCTCATGAAGGGCATCATGCACTTGTGCACTTGTTTGTATGCAGACGCGTTCGTTATCCTCTGTGACGCGCAGCTGTGCACCCCATTTGCGTTCACACATCAAAACAATGGTTAAGGAAGACTAAAATTGCACAAATATGTACATAAATTGTGACTGACAACCACCAGAGTACGAGTTTACTGGAGACACCCTATCAAGAAGAAATTATCTACCGACGCGCCTATGCAGAGACCCCATTCATGACGTCCAGCTTCGATTCGCACGTACAAGACTTATCAAATATTTACAAAGAGCCATCGTACGAACCCTAATGGATCATTCGGGTTCATTATGACGACAGACAGACGATGATTTTACGATGCTACCGTCAGATAAATTCCTGTTCACCACCAGTCCAGCTTCGCTGCAAGACCTAGATGATGGCTCTTCGAATGTGCTGGGTCTTGGCTCTGTGCACAACAGTCCGATGGATTGCAGTCTTGATGCTGAAAATCTAAATGATACAGCGGTGAAAGGAGTGACTCATTCGCGAGAGCTCGTGCCTACGGAAGAAGTGCCGGTTGCCGTGGAGGTTGCGTATCATCGAGTAAATCCCATGTTCGAGTCCTGCGAGCCCCCCACAATTATTTTCTGTAACATTTACAAGGCTATGGAAGCACGAGACATTAATTTCTCGTGCAGTCCTGATTGGACGGTACGGGGTCACTAGTCACCGTTGGTTTGGTCGTAGTGTGACGACACATAGCTGCTTGAAATGTCTCTAGATTGTGGCCCATGCGTTGGTTGCGGCGGAAGAAGTTTGCTTCAGTGTACAACTACACCGCTTGGCGATGACGTCATTTATTCGCGTGGACTTTACTTTGCGCTTGGTGCGTCTCGCGTCCATGTGCTACTGCTGTGTCTTTTGCATATCCGTAGCTTTTGGCAAGTGGGATTGATACTATGTTTATACTGTTTCTTCATAGGGTGATGAACTCAAATTTCTCAGATTGACTGACTCCATCCGCAAAGAGTGCAGATCAATAGACAGGGACATGATGGGACTGCCTGAACTGAGGTTGGTTTTTTCTTGCCTTAAGAAATTTTAAGTGTACATCTGTGCTGGGATATCGCGGCGTTGCTGAAATCTAGCCAGCTTACGTCTTATACAAGCCGAAGGTTGATGCTAACTGGGGTGATTCGTATTGCTCTATGTGCTGTCTGTCGCTGTTTCTTTGGTGCGGCACGCGCCTTCTTGGTCACCGAGAAGCTTTGACATTATGGCAGATTGGTCGGCTCCTGAGGATTTCTTTTTGAATCTCTAGCAGTCAACGCGCAAGAGCTTTCGATGCAGCTTTTTTTAGATCAACTCGGAGTCTCCGCCATTCTCGCGCTACGAGTTGGCCAGAAGCTGAAATAGCTCTGCCAGTATGATTCCATCCGTCGTACTTTCTTTGGTCACCTCAAAAAATTGCTCGTCACATGCTCGCAGCCAATGCTTCGAAACGAAAACGACGAAGTTGTAAGCCTTGCCATCTGCACTACATTGAATGTTGCGAGTGGCGTCCCGTCCTTTAAAGGGTAGGTGCATAAGATGGGCTATGGTGCCACAATGCGTGTATTCTTACTCTTATACTCACCATGCTTTTCTTTTTCTGTGCATCTTTCGTAGTTTGAATGTGCCTCAGTTACCTGAGACCCTCTGTGACATCTTGACGCTTTCGCTGAAAAAGTCGACGAAAAGGCTTGCCCAGTGATCTCTGTGGGACTATTGACGTCTGAAATTCTAAGCTGCAGTCGCAAAATGGTGTCCGAGGTCATTTTGATTATTCTACTTCGCAGCTTCAGGTCTCGGCAGCTATTGTAAAATCCGCACGACGATGCTGGTCGTAACAAAGTAAGCGCAGCTTTATTCACAATTATTCCTTGACTTGGTCGGCCATTGCGCTTACATTGACCAGTTCGCTTTGACAACTTTTACTACCGGACACTAGTGAGCGAATGCCTTGACGAACCCTTTGCCGATGCAGTGCAATACGTCAGGCGCCGTCATAGAACGTTGGTGTTCGTCAAAAGCAATAGACGAGCTTGATTGTCGATAATTATGACAGCATGAAACATCAATCAATCAAAAACTCGCGAGCAACGTACGACAACATAACGAACCTGGCCCGTGTCACGAGAGAGCCTCCGTATACCGCTAGCAATAGTGGATTGCCTTCAAAATCGGCTCTGGATTGCAGTCTCAAGCAAATGTGTGTTAGAGGGACGTACTTTGACGAGAACATGATGATACAGTGTGATATTATATAGCGACGTACAGCTCGGCGTGCTTTACCCACGCCACAAACGTCGCGATAGACCCAGCGACTATCTGCGCAAAAGGTAGCGCATTAGACCGGACGAACCATGATGCATTGAGATTGTCACAAACTGAATTTGCTCGTACGTCTCCTTGACCGCCGCATCGACGCGGGCATCCGTGCTCTTTGTTTTCCACCGCTATCATCCATACCACAATGTATAAGCGGTCGAGATTTATGCATTGGCCCAGCATTTTGGTGTGCATACAAAAGTATTCGTACTGATCGTCCCGTCTGAGATAGTGTCCACGCTTCCCTTTCGAATAACTACGGGATAACCCAAGCTAGAACAGGACGTAATTAGCTACAACAACGATACATGCAAGCTGACGAAATACTCTCTCGTAAATACTCACGCTTTGCTAAGTTCAGCCGGCGGAATCTTCGCCGCCTTGGCGATATCAACGTCCGGCACCAGGCGAGTTGTAGCACACAATCGCGCATACTCCATCTACGGACGAATCACTCGTTATAGAAAGTATAGACGCCACAAATTAATTCTCCCAGAACTTACTGCATTTGGCGTAAGGATCGCGTTCGTGTAGCCCTTTATTGTATCTGGTCGTTGACTGACCAAGTAAAGAGCGTCGCCGTCTAGAATCAGTGGCACATTGGCTTCTTGGGCCTTACCAATAATTTGTCGAGCGATTTCGTGCACACTGGCATCTCTTCCGAGTCCAGGACCAATTACCAAGACATCAAGTCTCGGCAGCACCTGCGCGATCCTCTCGACTGCTTCAGACAAGACACCAAAGCGTCTCGACTTTTCAACCCCAGCCAGCGATGCGTCCGATCGCAGCAGCGGGTGCACGATGAGTTCTGGACTGTAGCATTTAATAGGAACTGCGGCCTCCTCCACGCAAAAAACATGGCACAAATCTGCTCCTGTCTTGAGACTCGAAGTCCCAGCATAAAACGGAGCTCCGGTGTATTCAAACGACCCGCCAACGACACCCACACGACCTGTACAAATCGCAGCACCAATGCAGCATCAACACACGAGCGGAAAAGCAGATGCCCACCGGTATCGCACCTTGCTCTCCTTTGTGCCAGTGTCCAGCAGTCTGCGGGATCAAGCGATACACTAGCGATCGCAACATTGACATTTCGCAACGTGGGATATTTCTTTTATCTAAAAGATTATCTTGCTCGAAAAAACAGACGCGAATAAGTATCCAGTGTGGTAGAGACTGAGCGTCGGATTCTCACGTCAGCATTTCCGGCGCTCCAACGTGAACGCAATCAACCAATCCCGTCCGCGCGACCAACACTCTCGTACTTCAACCGACACTTTCAGCGGCACTTTCGAATCGGCGCAATCGACCACATCCCGATTATTCCTTCTATTTTCCCTCTCCCGCGATGTTGTCCCCCGCTCTGCTCAAGAGCTCGACGCGGATTGGCGGGTTGCGACTCGCTACGGCGCGCTCGACGCTGCCGGCCATGCAGACGCTACACCAGACGCAGACCCGCCCGTTCGTGGCCAAGCAGCTGTACAAGTTGGCCAAGCGCGTGATGCCACGCATGTCAGACACGGAGAAGGCGGCGCTCGAGAGCGGCACAGTGGGCTTTGACCGCGACATCTTTTCGGGCTCGCCGTCCCTTGCGACGCTGGACAAGTACTCGGCACAACTGAGTGCAGAAGAGCAGGCGTTTATGGACACGGAAGTGCAGCAGCTGTGCGAGATGATTGACGACTACGACGTCACGTGTAGTCAGGACATGCCTCTGGATGTGTGGCAGTTTATCAAGGAGAAGGGGTTTCTGGGGATGATCATCCCCAAGGAGTACGGTGGCAAGCAGTTCAGTGCGCATGGGCACTCGGTCGTGATTACCAAGATTGCTACCCGTAGTGCTGCTGCTGCCGTCACCGTGTGCGTGCCCAACTCGTTAGGTCCCGCAGAGCTGCTTCTTCGTTACGGAACGGATGAGCAGAAGGAGTACTTTCTGTCTGGCTTAGCCAGAGGTAAACACTTGCCATGCTTTGGTCTCACAGGGCCATCGTCGGGTTCGGATGCTGCTAACATGCGCGACACGGGCGTCGTATGCGAGCAAGACGGCGTGCTGGGCATCCGTGCGACGTTTCGCAAGCGTTACATTACTCTAGCTCCTGTTGCTACGTGTGTTGGTCTAGCTGTGGATGTGAAGGACCCGCAGGGATTGTTGAAAGGCACTGGACACCCGGGTATTACAGTGGCGCTTCTCGAGCGCAACCACTCTGGTCTCCAGATGGGCAGGCGTCACGATACTATTTCGATCCCGTTTATGAATGGACCTGTGACTGGCGAGGACGTGTTTATCCCAATGTCGAAGGTAATTGGCGGACAGACGCGTGTTGGCTATGGCTGGAACATGCTAATGGATTGCCTCGCTGAGGGCCGTTCGATCAGTCTGCCCTCGTCGGCGGTTGCCGGAAGCAAGTTGTCGGTCAACGCAGTTGGTGCCTACGCACGGATCCGTAAGCAATTTAAGGTACCCCTTGCCAGTCTGGAAGGCGTTCAGGAACAACTTGCTACAATGGGCAGCAACGCTTTCATCATGACAAGTGGCCAGCATATGGTGAACGCAATGATTAACCAACACGAACAGCCCGCTGTTATCAGTGGCGTGTGCAAGCAACAGATTACCGACCGTGGTCGTGACACGGTCATTCGTGCAATGGACGTCCTTGGTGGCGCCGGCATCTGCAAGGGTCCCAACAACTTCCTCGCAAACTTTTACACTGCTCTGCCTGTGGTAATTACGGTAGAGGGTGCCAACATTTTGACGCGTTCGCTGATCATCTTTGGCCAGGGTCTGACGCGTGCTCACCCTCATCTGTACGAGCTTATCAAGACTATTCAGCACGGCGATGATCTGGGAGGGTTTAAGAAAGAGTTGATTAAGTTGGTGCAGCATGGAGTGACGAATACGACCGGCTCATTGAAGACGGCAGTCACACGCTCGCGCTTCAAGAGACAGGGTCATCTGCTCGCTCACTACGAATCTCAGATGGACAAGCTTGCGAAGAACTTCGCTGCATGCGCGGATCTGTCGTTAGTGCTTGGCGGTAAGCTGAAGTTTACCGAGATGATTTCTGGCCGTTTTGCAGATGTGTTCTCGAGTCTCTACTTGGGATACTCGACGATGTGGTTTTACAAAAATAACCGCGACATTGAGGGCATCGACGTGATTTTTGACTACGCGATGACGCAGCTGTGCTACGAAGCACAACAGGGTATTGTTGGAATCAGCAAGAACTTTCCTGTTCCAGGCATCGGCCCTATCATGCGTAGGGTGTCGTTCCCATTCGGTTTGCCGTACGACTCTCCGACCGACCAGCAGATGCGGCAGGTTTCAGAGCTGATCTCCACTGATTCGGGTGTGCGCAGCTTGTTGAGTGACAACGTTTTTGTATCGGAGGACCCTGAAGACCGTGTGGCACTTCTGAACGCGACGCTACCGAAAGCCGTGAAAGCAGACCGAACGCTTACAGCTTTGCGCAAGCAGAAGCGCAATGCTACCATTGACGAGCAGAAGTTCATTGACGAAGTCGAGGCCGCGCGCGAGGTCATTATCCAGGTGGACGATTTTGATCGCCTTGGCTCTGAAGTCGGTAAGCCAAACGACTACGTTCGCCCCGGCATGGTCGGCAACGTCTTTGATAAGAAGGATTGAGCGAGATCGGCTGTATAGATCACATCTTCACGACTACCGCTCTGATGATGGCATGGGGAGCGAAGAGAATGTTTCAAGGAGGATTCAGAAGGCAAAAAGAGGACTCCAACCACTTTGGGTCATTTGTCAGAGCAAATCAGCCACACGCCTAAGACATTGTCTTGTATCCTGACAACGCACAACTCTTTTCATTTTTGTCAGACTTTGTGTCATCGTCATCGCTTTTATCTGATTTTGCCCAGTGATTCTAGGAACACGGTGGAAAATAGCTATCGCCAAACAGAAGCAACTCAGCGTTCCCGTTTGTTCTTCTGAAATGCCAATATGCTTCAGTTCTCGCCGACAAAGTTCTGTCACCAAAAGCAACACTGTGATCAGGACTTTGACCCCTCAAACACACAGCTTACAAACGCATCACCACGCGCACCTCAGTGTTCTGCCGAGCGCATTGCACAAACGCATCAGCCACTTCCTTGCACTTCAACACATTGCTCTTCTCGTCTCTGTAGCATTCCAAGCACGCCTCGCGCTCAGGCGAACACTGCACGTCACGCAGCGGTGCGCGGTACTTTTTCTTGTTGATCTGCTCCACGAGCTGCTCCACGCGCTGGTTCTCGCGCTCCTCCTGCTCTCTCGCGAGTTGAGCCTGATGCGCTGGACTCGGCTTAGCTGTTGCTTTCTGCGTAAGCTCCATCTTCTTGCGCTGTTCATCAGCACCCTACAGCAATACAGACCACACATCCGTCATTGTATCCACAAGTGAATTCCTGCTGGCTTCTCAACGACAGTGCGAACGTGCATGCTGCACCTTGGCGAACGCCAACTGAAGTTGCTTCTTCACGAATTCCTGCTGCCTGTATTACAGCGATAGCGATATGACAATCAGTACTAGATAAACAGCATCCTACTGGACATGCGCGTAGCTCTTCTACACAAATTTCGTACTGCGGAGTGAGGCCGCTGACTGCCTGCTTGGCCGAGTTGGACGCCCCGTGTGTGCCGTTAATCTGATCGATTAGTGCCGGTGTAAGTCGGATAGACGTCCGCGTCTCGGCCTCGTAATCTTCCTCCGGACGCAGCTCTGCTGCGGTCTCAGGCGCGACAACGCGCGACTGCTTCGCGCCCATGGTATTCGTATCCTGCTTTTTCGAGATAGGGCCAGCGTTTAACGTTGAGCCTAGTACCGATCAGAGCTCGGTATGCTGGCGATGGAACCGGTACAAGTATATCAACAGGTTTTGAACGCGGTAAAAACGTCGTTACTTCGACGTGACATCGAGGTTAATAACAGGACGAGGCCAGTCGCTATCGATTGCATATCACTTGGCGTCGCACACACTCAGCGTTGCACAGAGCAGCGACATGAATGACACCAAGTGTACGATGTCATGGCTCACTTCGTGTTCAGTCGAATCTATTTCAGCTATAGCCGGACGGTGCATAACGTATTGACACCCACCACTAACGTCATGAACAGCTTCGAAGCTGCTCAGTTGAGCGATCGGAGTCATCTTCTACCCGCACAGCCATTGCAGGCGAACACGCAGGTGCTAACTTGGAAGGTGCCACGCTAAACAAGCACGACGTCTCGGGCAACGATACGACAATACATTGATCGCGGTGCAGCACTCGTGGATGAGTCCAGCGACTTCTACGTCAAAACGAAAGAAAAGAGCCACTATGACGGTTAGCAGGCTAACGATCGCAGCAGTTCTTTCGGCAAGGTGCTACGTGGTACATGCGTGAGCGCATCGCTGGTCCCAGGCATGCCCGCATCCATTCATTTTTGACCTCGAGTCCAGCGTTGCGAACGTCAGACTTGATGAGGACAAGTCTTGCAACTGCTCCTTTTAGGTCAAAAGCATACAACCGGTCCCTCCAATACTTAATCGCTACCGCTTGTCTCGATCGTAGCCCTACGATTGATATCCAAGGCGAGCAGATCTTCGAGCGTCAATACCGTTCCCTCTCCTCCTCCCGCGTCAAAGACGTCACAGAGCTTCTACCAGTTGTCAATTTGCTCTCTCGCAGCCATGTCGGACAAGCAGAAAACAGCGCTCATCGCTGCCTCCGTGGCCGTTGCAGGCGTGACTGCTAGCTCCTACCTCCTGCGCCAAATCATGCGCCCCATTCTCCACGCGCGAGCCGCCACGACGTTCAAGCAGATGCTGGCCGATGCTGACATCCTCGTGGATCGTGACATTCGCATCTACGACGAGGACATTTTCCTTGACTGGGTGCATCGTGGCATGCTCGCGATTGGCGAGTCGTACATGGCCAAGAAATGGGACGCCATTATCCCGCTGGATGAGCTCCTCACGCGTCTGCTGTTGCTGCCTGCAGACAAGCGCCGCAAGATGTTCACGGCCTGGAATGCCAAGTTTATCGCCTTAGGCGGCAAGATCTTCAACTACCAATCGGTCTCACGTGCGGGGATTGTCGGTGCGCACCACTACGACCTGGGCAACGACTTTTTCAAGCTCTGGCTTGACTCGAACATGCAGTACTCGTGCGCCTACTGGAAGGGCATTGAGGGCAAGCACGACCTCGATGCAGCTCAGCGCAACAAAATGCACCTGATCGCCAAGAAGCTCAAACTCGAGCCAGGTATGCGCGTGCTTGAAATTGGGTGCGGCTGGGGTGGACTTGCTTGCTTCCTTGCCAAAGAGTATGGCGTCCACGTGACTGGTATCACCATTTCGAACGAGCAGCTGAAGGGCGCTCGTGAATGGGCTAAGCGCGAGGGCTTGACCGACCTCACAAGCTTTGAGTACTGTGACTACCGCGAAATGCACGGCCAATTCAATCGCGTCGTAACAATTGCTATGGTCGAAGCAGTGGGCTACAAGAACTTGGGCGATTTCTTCACTGTGATCAAGCGCTGTCTCACGGACGATGGACTCGCTCTTGTGCACGGCATTGCTGCCAATCGCTCCATTGAGGTCCCGATTCAGCTCTGGATCCTCAAGTACATTTTTCCCAACGGATTCCTGCCGTCCGTTGCGCAGCTGCTGCTGTTTGCGGAACGCAAGCTCATTGTGGAAGACGTGCACAACCTTGGACCGGACTACGATAAGACGCTCATGTGCTGGCACGACCGCTTTCAGGACCACCTCAAGAAGGGCCACATCGACCGCCCAGAGGTGTTTTGCCGTATGTGGGACTTCTACTTGCTGTACTGCACTGCTGGCTTTCGCGCGCGAACCATTCAGCTCGCGCAAGTTGTCTTTTCCAAGAATCGCTTGACCCGCTACGATGCCGCGCGGTAAATGGAGAGCCATTGGTTTGTGTAAAGGCAAACATTCCATGTTCTGGTTGTCTGGAAGCGAAAGGGGTTGGAAGACGTGGCTTGTTCGTGCGTAGGACTCGTAGGGCTCGAGTGGAGTAGACAACGGGTTGTGACTGTACGTATGTCGCTAGCAAATTCAAAGATGGGCCAAGTATTGTCGTTGGGGGTTGTGGAAACGAGCTGTCCCCGGTCTTTTGCAATAATCTCAACATGATTGGCCTCTGTTTAAACCAGCGCATGCTCCATCAGTACCGAGGATCATCGACGAGAGCCATTCAACGGCAAAGCAGTTGGTAGACTGACCTCGTCAATTGTTCAACTATATTCATGGGCTGCAATATCGTGATTGCGTCGAGAACTCGTACAAGGTTTTGTCAGTGAAAGGGTTTGATTGCAGCAGGCCCGCTACATTTACACAGCTCGTAAGCCTCCCGAATCATACCTTGACTGCAATTTTTCCTGTTCATGTGCAACAGAGCCCCTTTGTCATGCGTCATGTAACATCTTGGCTCCTTTACATTTTCTCCATCTGCATGGGATGCTTCGTTTGATAGTGTCATGAAGGGATTCACCAAGATTACGAACGAGAAGGCTGCATAGTGCGGTACCAACCAACCTCTGAACTTATGGACACAAAGCAATAACGAAACGAAAGATGATCCCGAAGTGAGTGAGCTAATGTTTAATGCCTATCTCACCGTCACGCCAGGCGTTGGTCACAAGATCTACATTATACACCAACCGTCACGGTGTGGAAGATACAGGGTAGGTGCATTTCTCGCTCAGAGTTATCGAACGTTTCATTCGCAACAAAAGAGACTTTGACACGCGAGGACAGTTTCACTGTATCAGCCGATACAAAGCGTTCTGTGCTAACACGGAAGCCAATCTTATCGATCACTGCATACAGCAGCTACTTTATTCCTCACTTCACGTCTACCGTTCCGGTCGATCACCGCGCAGTTGCTGGCGGCGTTCTTGTTCGAGAGCATCACGAAGGACGACCTTGCCAATCACATAGACGCCAGTTGCCACCATGCCGTAGATCGCGAACAAATACGAGGCCACAACACTCGCGGCGCCGATGAAGCCAAGCACCACAAATGCCATCGCACTAAGTGGATCAGGTTGATACGAAAACACCATGTTCACGAGCGCGAAGAGAAAGTAGAAGAGTGCACCCAGCAGTCCCGTCGTGAAATTCATGACCGCTACGAAGACCCAATTGAGGACCATACTCAAGACGTCTTCGTCCCGGGCCGACAAGAGCCGCATGATCATGTGATAAAACGTCTGATGCTGAGCAAAGAGCTTGCCCTTTTCAAACGCGCTCCAGAACCGCGCACGTACATCAGCTAGACCAAAGTCCGACCAGAGACCAACATACGATCGGGCCTTCTTCATCTTGTCTTCCTGCTCTTCTTCTCTCCTCGAGAGCTCAGCTGCCCACTTGTTAGCCTCTGACTGACGCTGATTTACCAACGTCTTGTACGGCTCACGGAACCGCCAGAACCAGACTTTGGCTTCTTCAGCATAAGCTTGAGCTCCAGTATACTTGGCATAAGCTTCATGGTACTCTGGCATATTGGCAGCTTCCACGACCATTTCTTCATAAGTGGCCTTCATTTCAGGTGTAACAGTCCGTAGACCAGGAGCCAGCAGCATGAAGAAGAGACCGACAGCCCAGAGCACGAGCCCTAGGCGGATCTTGGGCGACTTGAGAGCTCGACCAGCAACAGACTTCACAAGAGCTACGCCGCCATCTTCCTCGATATGGGCGTAACGAGCTCGCTGCATCGCATCGGCTTCGGAAAGTTCATGCATATTGATAAATTCACATAGTCAGTGATACACAAAAGGCTTTTGAGGCAGAGAAGAGGCAGAGCTGAGCAAGGGTACAGCTGATCATGTTTGACCGAGATTAAGGTTGATGTACCGTCCGAGTTTGCGCTGGGGTGGCCGGGTCGACGACGCATCTTCCTACGTGTGTGACTACGTGTTTTAGACTGACCGATGTTAGTTTGGGCTGTTTGAATTTCCAGAGCACTTGATTTTTAGTTGGCGGGTAGGAATTTGACGCGATTGTGGAGGGGGGAGGTGAACTACACATCTCCCTCTCTTAACTTTTAGCCTCGGCAGACACAGTTACTATACGTAGCACACGCTACTGGTTATTGGATTATGGTGCCGTCGCACATTGAGAATTATGTGAATTAAAGGCAAACACTAACCCCCCCCCAGGTTTTAGTTAACCACCCGCCACCCCTATATATTACCATAATTTATGCATTTGAAGCCTTCTGGCTGATAAGATTCAGTAATCACCCTTTTCAGAAGTAATTTCCGATCTCGTTCACAAATGAAGAAGCAATAGATCTGATTATGAATACGCATGTCTTCAAGTCGGCGACGTGTGGTAATTTAATTTTTAGCTTCTTCCTTCACAATACACTGAAACCCAAGGAGCACGGAGTGGGGGCAACTGACGGTGAGAACACCATTCGAGACGAGTCATGTACACTTACTGTAATGGGGTAGACCGTTACAGGATATTGACACCAAACGGTATCTGTAACGGGGTGAATCGTTGCATAACAATTTATAAGAAATTGTTATTAGAATATAACTATAAGAGTTATATTCTCAGAATATTGTCATAAGGACAAATATTCTGTAGCACTTACGAGTAGTTCCTAATTGGTTGATATAGGCCATTATATCAACCAACGAAGACGCGCCACGACAGACGCACGCAATGAGTGGTAAGCAGATAATTGATTTACACATTTGTATTGAGACATAGTTAGATGAAGATAAATAGTGATTTATTGCAGACATTAACTATACTAAATACAGTTCTACTTTTTACTCTAACCAAGTACTCGCTTCTTCTTACCGTCTTTGTAACGGGGTGAATCGTTACATAACAATTTATAAGAAATTGTTAATAGAATATAACTGTATGAGTTATATTCTCAGAATATTGTCATAAGGACAAATATTATGTTGCACCTACAAGTAGTTCCTAATTGGTTGATATAGGCTATTATATCAACCAACGAAGACGCGCCACGACAGACGCACGCAATGAGTGGTGAGCAGATAGTTGATTTACACATTTGTATTTAGACATAGTTAGATGAGGATAAACAATGGTTTATTAACAGACAACAACTTGACGCTGAATGCGAGAAAGTAGCCTTGCTTCACCAACAAGGTTCTCAACAAGCAGAGTTGTTAAGAGAACAGGGTGCTCAACAGTTTGAACTGTTGAGACAGCAGCAGGCTGCTGTTGGCGGGTCGATGCACTCGCGTCGACCCGAGACTTTGAAGATTGACATCCCCAAGTATAGGGGGGTCGAAGAAGACTCCCTCTTGAGATGGTTCGTCGAATTGGATGACGCCATAAGGGCGCGTCGCATCGACGACGGGGATATGCAAGTTGCATTTGCCCAGTCAAATCTGGCAGGACGTGCCAAGACTTGGGCACTGGGGCTCAAGATGCACGACCCATATGCGTTTGGGTCGTTGGAAGTTTTCAAGTCGCGGCTCAGACAAACGTTTGAACCGCCTAGAGCTGAGTTCAGAGCTCGAACCGAACTCTTGAAGCTCAAACAGGGTAAGCGTGATGTGTACGCTTACGCTCAACATATACGACATCTCACGAGTTGTATAAGTTCCAATCCGGTGGATGAACGCACGTTGGTTTCGGTGTTCATGCAGGGTCTTGCGGATGGTCCCGTCAAGACTCACCTGTTCCGGCTTGAACTAGATTCACTAGAACAAGCCATTTCCATTGCGGAGCAGGAAGACTTCAGTCTGAGACAGGCTCGTGCCAGCTCAACATCATATCGTCAACCGAGACGATATGACAACGGAGGTCCAGAGCCGATGGAACTCTGTTATGTAGAGAGCGAGAAGGCTCGCTCTACAGGCTACAAGAAGTTGCAGAGATGCAACAGATGTCAAAAGACAGGACACTACGCTTACGAGTGTAGTGCCCCTCGTCCAGTGTCTCGCGATACTGGGCGTAGTGACCGTCCACCCGTGAGAAAGGGGCAGGGACGAGGGTCCGCAGTTGGTGCAAAGACGCAACAACGGGATGGACCATCAAAAAAACGGACAGGATCAGTAGGTGCGGAGCACCCTACTGGTCTAGCAACGTCAAGAGAATTTGTAGGCCTCTTGATGAAGGTTGCTCCCAACACACAAACGTTGTGCGTTGCTGCTCTAGGTAATGAGGTCTCACTCATTACCTTGAAACTCGAAGTGACGAATAAGTTGTCCTTTCGAGCTCTAGTCGATTGTGGGGCGTCCAACAATTTTGTGCGACGCCAATCGCTAGAAGATGGTCACTTTAAATTCAGTGAATGTGACACACCTCCTACGAGGATGACGGTACGTCTTGCGACAGGCGCATCCGTAACTGTCATGAAGCGTATAGTGAAGATCCACTATACGCTAGAAGATACCCAATATGACGATGACTTTATCGTATTGGATTTGGATGACAAATTTGATGTCATCCTTGGAATACCGTGGCTCAGAAGGTACGAACCACGGGTAAACTGGCAACATCGGACAGGAACGATGCCTGCCGCTTGTTCATCAGATGGCCATCTGATGAACGTTTTGGAGCGTCCACAAGCGTGTGGATGTACTATGAGTGAGTGCGATGGCCTCACTTGTGGTACGGTCGTTAGTACGACTGCACAAAACCTTAGTGTAACAAACGGTTACACTTCGGAGCAAAGTTCCGGCGGCTGTGAGGAAACACAGGCTGCGCCGAAGGTCCACCACTCGAATAAGTCGGGTGGACTGGGACAAAGATGTATCCATAGCGGGGAACATCCAGAAGAGAAACAATCGATCGCTCAGGTTAAGCGAAACGATAGTCCTAGATCGACTGGAGAGTCTTTCGTAGAGGATCTCGCTGTGGTTGCGCAACCCCATCTAGAGGAAGTTAAGGGGATAAGTCCCGATATTACAGATACGGTGGAAATAAGTTCCCCGAAACCCGTGCGAATAAGTCCCCGGGAAGCCGAAGGAATAAGTCCTTCGAGGCCTGAGGGAATAAGTCCTTCGAGGCCTGAGGGAATAAGTCCCCAGGAAATGACAGAGACATTGAATGTCATAGTCAATGATGGATCAAGTGTAGGCGCTTATACACTTGATCTGATTGCGCCTCCGAAGTTGACTTCGGAGATCACTCAGTTCCCAACGCTCGAACACAAAAGGTTCTTGCGTGATCTGCGTAGTGGCAAAGTCAAGCAGATCTGCATACTCGTCGCTGACGACGAGTGTGTAGCCGACATAAGGTCAGCAACAGTGTTTACTGAGAAAGAGAGTTCTCAGTAGTTCATCTATGGACGAGAGTGTCCTCGATGAAAAGACACGAATTGAGCGATATGACTCCCAATCATGGGAATCGCTCAAGAAAAATCCTCTCTATGAAGATTTGGTTGAATTCAAGGATGTATTCCCTGAAACTGTTCCGTGCGAATTACCGAAGGAGAAAAGTACTCGACACGAGGTCGAGCTTAAACCAGGCTCGAAGTACTGTGTCATGAAGCAGTGGCCACTGCCTCGTGAACAAGTACTTGCGATCGGCAAGTTCTTTGCCGATCGTTTAGCTGCGGGCCATGTGAGGGAATCAACTTCTCCACATAGCTCTCCGACCTTCTGTGTGCGAAAGGCCACAGGAGGGTGGCGGATAGTGCACGCGTTCAATAAATTGAACGCTGCAACGGTACCGGCTCAAACGCCGATACCGAGGAAGGACGTAATCATTGATGGTATGCCAAAGAGTACCATCTTTTCGTCCATGGATTTGATGGATGGCTTCTATCAAATCCTTATGCGGGAACGGGATATACCCTGTACCGCAGTTAGCACGCCTAGCGGCATGCTCTGGGAATGGCTAGTAATGCCACAAGGGCTTAGTAATGCCCCTGCCACGTTCAACAGATGTGTATCACATCTGTTGAGACCAGTACGAGAATTCGCGCCGAGTTATTTCGATGACGTATTCATCCATAGTCGAGCTATGGATGGAAAGTCGGACGTTGAGGTTCACAGGTACCACGTCCGACAAGTTCTTACAATCATGCGAAAGCATCAATTGTATGCTAACCTCAAGAAGTGTATATTTGCAGCAAGCGAAATACCACTTCTTGGGTGCATCGTTGGTAAGAATGGTGTACGTCCTGATCCCGAAAAGATCAAGGCGATCACCGACTGGCCTGTGCCGGTTGATGTCAAAGGTCTTCGAAAACCCCTTGGGCTAGCGGCGTATTTGCATAAGTATTCACGCAATTACGCCGAGATGACTGTGCACCTCTCTCGTTTGTTGAAAAAGAACGAGATGTGGTTATGGAACTCTGAATGTCAACGCTCCTTTGATGGTATCAAGCAGAGCTTGATACAATCCCCAGTCCTAGCAATAGCCGATCAGGACAGGCCATTTCATGTGGTCTGTGATGCCAGCGATTTTGCAATCGGCTGTGCATTAATGCAGTACGATCTTGAAGGCGTTGAACACGTCGTCTGCTATCAGTCGCGTCAGCTGCAACCAGCTGAGCTGAACTATCCAGTGCATGACAAGGAACTCCTTGCCATGAAGTATGGACTCGCGAAGTTCAGAGTCTATCTATTAGGAGATAGACCCTTCGTTGTTTACACTGAACATGCGTCATTACGCACGGCAGTGAACAGCCCGCACCTTTCACAACGAATGGCGCGATGGTTGTCATTCTTTGCGGAATACAACTTTACGGTCGAGTACAAACCAGGACGACTTAATGTCGTCGCTGATGCACTCTCACGTCGTCCCGACTTTGAAACAGTCGCGAAACCCAACAGTGAGACAGTCACTGTTGCGGTTATGACGTCCTCAGTCCCATCTACAACGTTGTATGATGATGTGAGGCGGGCATACGCCCAAGATGGTGAGATTGTGAAGTTGTTGACACATCTC